CCTATCAGATGTTTAGAAGGAGCAATTAGAATTGCCACTCACTAAGGAGGAAGTATGGACTGCTCTCATGCTGATGGAGGAAGAAAAGGCTCCTGGCATTGATGGTCTACCAAAGGAATATGGGAGGCCATGTGGGACTTCATCTCCCAAGATCTCATGGATTTCTACCAGGAGGTATGGGAGTCAGGCCAGATGGGGGAGTTTGTGGGTCAAGGTGTCCTGACTTTATTATATAAGAAGGGAGAGAAAAACAACATTAGGAATTACCGCCCCATAACTTTGTTGACAGTCGTATATAAGTTGATCTCTAAGGTTCTTACTAATCGCCTGAATAAGTAAATTGTGGACATAATTCATCCATCCCAAACTGGGTTCATCCAGGGCAGAAATATTCAGGATAATATGTTGCTAGTTAACGAACTTATCAGGCTCTCTCGACAGTCCAAGCATAATGCTGCCTTTGTTTTTATTGATTTTGAAAAGGCCTACGACCACGTGGATTGTTTTTTTCTGGACAAATGTTTAGAAAAATTCAATTTTGGTCCAATGTTTAGGAGATGGATTAGAATTTTGCATAGGAATGCAACTACAAGAGTTATGGTTAATGGTAATGTAGCACCTCTCATTGTTCTTCAGAGATCAGTGAGGCAAGGTGACCCCATTGCTCCGCTCCTCTTCGTGATTATTATGGAAGCTCTAGCAGCTAATTTAAGACACCACAAAGATATTAGTCACATCCGGATTTCTTCTATTCCAGAGGACGCCATCCCTGTATGCTCACTTTTTGCTGATGATCTCTCCCTAATGGTTGAAGCTTCCTGGAAGCAATTAAAAAAATGTTGGACACTTTTTGTAAGCTTTCTGACATGAGGGTAAACTGGGGCAATAAAACTCTAGGTTGGTGGATTCATTATCAAGGAGGGCGACCCCCTGACCAACCCCAGATAAAATGGCTGCAGCCGGATGTGCCAATCAGAGTCCTTGGGATCTCCCTATCTGCCTCACGTAAACCATTAACCACTAGTGAAGGGATCATGCATCATGCCCACTCAAAACTGGAGTTGTGGAAAAATAAACATACCTCCTTATTTGGGCAGTCTCTTGTAATCAATAATGTGGTCCTAGCTTCCATTTGGTATAAATCTGCATTATGGGCCTTAGATAAATTGACTCTCAAGACTTTTCAACGTCATTTGGCAGCCTTTTTGTAGCGTGGGAACCATGAGCAGGAAAACGTCATCAGCAGAGTGGCATGGACATCAATAATCCAACCAAAATCTATGGGAGGGTTTGGGATCATTGACCCTCATACCCAAGCTATAGCCCTTTCTATTCAATGGATTAAACGCCTTCTATTTAACCCCAACACTCCATGAAGCCTTCTTGCCTGTGAGCAGATTAGGAGATTAGCTCCCCCTATCCCAGATGCAACAGACCCACTTATGTGGCTAGAGAACCGATCCTGGTCTCTGCCAAGGGGCAGTTCAGTGGATCCACATGGTCTGGAGCTTTCAGAGAGACAAGCAGCTAGGAGTGATCTCTGTAGAGATCCTTTTTGGATTACATTGTTGAAAAACTGGAGGAAACTTCCCCTACCAGATAAAATATCTCCAACAAGATGGGAGGAAGTTTGTCAACAATCATTATTTAATAATATATTTATTAGGGATTCTCAAGGATGTGTTCTCGACTGTATGGATAGCCCATGGCTAGGCTGGGTTAGGAGAGGAATCATACGTATTAAGGATCTTTGGAATCAAGAAACAAAGGATTGGTTTTCACCCCTAGACCTTCAAGATCGATTGCGCTGCAGTCATCATCAGAGGACTGCATTGGATAATATCATTGAATTGATTCCTTTGGACTGGGTTAGAATCTTAAAGAAAGGTCCCAAGTTTCTTCCTGGCGACTGGGTGACAATCCGATGTTCTAAAGGGATAGTGGGGAATATAATTGAGATCCGTAATTCAGTGGATATTCTAATATCTATTCTGGATTTACAAGAGGATGATTTTCTTGCTCTTAGGTCTCAATACGACACCAGGTGGTGTACGGCTGACCAACTTTTTCGAGTAAGAGTTTTAAATGTCAATGATAAATGGCTCTCCTTTAAACTTGAAATACCAATATCCCATCTACCCTTTGATCCTATAAATTGGACCTGGTCTTGCCCAGGTAGACAGGGTCGCTCCTATTCTAGATCCTTACATACCCTCTCTGTGAAGTCCACTTACAGAATGCTTCGCCCCAGGGTTAATCTTAGAGACCGCATTGAAGATCGCTGGATGAAGAATCTGGAAATCAGTAAAGAAAAGCTAAGAGGAGTTAAGTGGTTTCATACCTGTAAATCTAAACCTGCTAAGGTAGCCTCTTTGCAATGGCGAATTTTTCACCGCTGCCTTCCTACTAATGACTGAATCATTGACAGAACTTCATTAGAACAGAAAAGGTATTGCTCTTTCTTGGTGTAAGTTCTCCAAATCTGCTTTTCCGTCCAAACTTTTTCTGGAAACAATCGAACATATTTTTCTCCAATGCCCAGGTTCGGTCTGGCTTTGGCGATGGTGGGACAGGATTCGGAGCCAGTTGGGAACCTCTCTCCCGTGGCCGTGGGATTGGAAAACCCTTCTCCTAGAATTATGGCATCCTTGTCAAGAGGATGAGTAACTGATAATTTGTTTACAATTGGTAAGAGAGCAATTATTTGGGCGATATGGGTTAGAAGGTGTACCCATGAAATGGAGGGTGCTAGATTGGACGGTCCAGATGTCACTGATTCTATTAAACAACATATTCAGACTGATACAACTATTAAATGGGAAAACTTAAAAGAAAAAATCCAGCATATTTCTCAACAAAATGAGATATGGCAGCACATCAAAAAGTTCAATAAAAACTGGCTTGGGGGGGACCAGGGAGGGAGGTTGGGGAGGGTGCTGTGGGAAGGAGCTCATGAGAATTTACATGGTTGTTTTCAAAAGAATTATAGACTAGTCTTTAATGATTGGAGTTGTGTTGATCCCTCTATTCCCCTAAGACCCTTATCTGACTTCCCTGATCCCTTTCCCCTACCAGGATCCTGTTTGGTCCCCTCATCATGGTATGGATAATCCTGTCAAAATATTTTGGTTTGTGCTAGGTAGTAACGAATTTCTGGCGTCCAGGGAGGGTGAAGAGGCACAAAAGGTCTAGTATCAGTTTTTTAATCAGGTCCATTCTTCAGATCTCTTGTGGGACGCTGCACCCGGTTTGCAGCCAAAAAAGAATATTGATGTATAGGGACGCTGGACCCGATTTCCAGCAGGTGCAGCTCTCCACCAATAGATGGAGCCTTCGACGCAGCGGCCTACTTAACGGGGCTGCTCTTATCACCTCGTTAAGTAGGTTTCCCACATGCGAAGTTTAAAAAATGTGAAAAAAAAAAAAGGGTTGAGTCAGAGCCAGACCTATGGTACAACTTTGTCGCTTTCTTTTCAGACCTTTCGTCTTTCAGCTTTACAATTTTATCTCTGAACCTGACTTCTGGGTCGGCTTCCTCGTGCCAATCCATTCCCAGAATCATGCCAAATGGCAGGTTCTTTTTTATAAGAAAGGATATCTCATGTAGGATTTTATTACCTTCGTTTGTGCGAAAATAACATTTCACACAGTCCACGTATTGAAAGACGGTGATAGTGCTCTTGTCTATCAGCATAGATGTGATTGGTCTAGGCAAGTCCTTTATTCCCAGATGCAACTTTCGTATTGCCTTCTCTGAGATATAAGACCGCATCCATCCTAGGTCTAACTGGGCACCTACTCGTGTACGTGCAATTTCAGTGCCTGCTATCATTAGCTCACCCTTAGATCTAGCTTTCTTAGCCCACAAACTTCTTAAGGCTTTGAGTTCGTTACCAAGTTCGTCAAGGGAATCACCCAGAGAGACGAAACATAAGACTGTCTCAGGGTGTTCCGGACGATGGGCCGAAGAAGAGTCATCCTCTGCCATATGAGTCGAGGGGTTAGAAGGGATTGTCGGCGCCTTACCTTTGTTTGGACCCTTTGACATCTTCAGATGATGTGTTTACCGCACAATAAATAATAACAAATCAATAATAAATTCTACGATCACACCGAGTTTCAACTTACTACAGCAAGAAATAAATAAACAGTTCAAAAGATTAGAAATCAATTTACTCCTAATCTAACTTCAGTTGTCTGATCTATATGTGATGACATCCTACAGGAGTGTACAAGTACCGCAGCCACGGCCAGTATGATCAAGACATCAACACACAGGTGAGTATGCACAACAACCACATAACAATTAACAGGTGAAGGTCAACTAACGCAACAACAACAATCAATAGTTAGCCTTCCTTTCTCGACGGTTGTACCATCTGCAGAACCAATGCAACTAGACACAAGGGCCGACAAAGAACACTACAACAAATCATGAAGTCGTACCTTCTGCCATCACACAAGTGCAAGATCAACACCTCACCCACAACAGCATGTCATACATGCCACGTGTCACCCCTGGAACGCCAACATTGCAACTCTATAGAGTCTGCCACGCCAGCGTCAAGGACCTGGAAGGTCTTACGAGGGGGATGTCACGTCAGCAATGCACGTCTACAAACACATATAACACTGGCATGCCACGTCAACTCAAAGTATGCAGCGCTTCACAACAGGCGGTCACATCACAGGTATGTACCACATCAGAAACCATGCCCTGCCAGTAGAGAATGCCACATCAACATTCCCACGTCATGCCACATAGGCAATACGCCACATCAGTGGTCCCAATATCCACACACTCTCTCTTTTGACCAGCGCCATGTCCGCCTGTTGCCAATAAAGCTCTCGCCGGTATCTCGATGTCTTCAGCGTAACCACTTCCTCACCTTCAAAGGTGGCTACACGCACAAGCAGTACTTGATGTCTAGACCTGCGGTATTAACCGCGCGCGTTAATAAACGCGCTTCGTTCCTGTACGTGCGGCACCTCCCACTTACCTGGGTGCCAGGTCAGCACCTGACAGAAGATCACGATTGAAGGAGGTTTGCTCTGACACCAAATTGCAATGAACCCAGACTGTAAGATACTCATCAAACGTCGAAGTACAGGTAGACTCAGATCTGCACAATGTCTCCAGTTAACGTGAAAGTGATATCTGATACAGTATCTCGTTACCAATAGACGAAGAGAGTGGAGGGGGAATAGACAAAGGAGAGGGTGGAAGAGATAATCAGTGACCACTTAAGAGCAGCACAATCAATTCCCACTCCTTCTCCGGGCTTCGTCTCCCTCCACATCATCAATCAATAAACAGTAACAAGTCCGATAAGTCCTTATCACATAGAAGTGTCACGTGGCACTATTCTCCCATGGAGACAATGAAGACAAGCAGCAACATACAATATTGACGTCAGCCTCAGGTTAGTACCCCGTCCCTCAATCGTCCACAGATCTCGATCTCCCTCCTTATCGCAACCAGTCACCTCATGTAAACAGTGTGGCCAGTGCCACGTCAACAAAGGAGACAGTTGGCATGCGCCACATCAACAATGAAGACAGGTGGCAGCGCCACATCAGCAATGAAATGTAGACATGTGGCAGCACCACATCAACAATGTAGACAAATGGCATGTGCCACATCAGCAATGTTGACAAGTGGCATGCACCACATCAGCAGTGTAGACAGGTGGCAGCGCCACATCAGCAATGCCTGGCGCATAGAACAGAAGCGCCTGCATGGTGCCACAGTCCCGCGTCGTCGTCTACAGTGTCAGCGCACAGCCAGCGTCGAGTCAGCGTCCAGCCAGCGTCGAGCCAGCGTTCAGCTAGAGTCAAGCCAGCGTCGAGGCAGCATAGCAAGACTGAATGTTGACCACCTGGAGACCAAGCCTTATATAGTATTTGACGAGGTTGTCTGGCCTCAGGTCTCCTTCCCACAGCCGTACATATTGACCATAGCTACGCCGGACCGGACACCGGACCGAATCCGGACCCCGGACCCCGGACCTCCCGGGCCCTTCCGGACTTCCGAAAAACCGGAATATTCCAGAATATCCGGACCGAGCCGGACCCCCTGTCCGGATCCCCTATATTGTCCGGAAAAAAAAAAAAAAAACCGGAATATTCCAGAATATCCGGACCG